TGTAAAACACATTCTTGATAAAAAGCTCTTTAACCAGAAATACAAGGAAGCCAGCTCACCTAGAAAAGAACATTACTAACAGCCTTCAGTGAAGAGCCTACTAATGGTAAAAGACTGAATGCTTTCACCCCTGAGACTGGGAACATGGCAAGGATATTTACTCGTATGGACTTCTGATTAACATTGTGTAAAAATCTGGAAGAGAACTATTACTTAATCAATTTAGTATTGTTGCAAGATACAAGATTAACATATAAAAACCAATTACATTCATATATGTTATCAATGGATAGTTCAGAACTAAAATTAAGAAAATATACAAAACAGTATCAAAAGAATGAAATACGTAACAAATTTAACAAAAGGAAGCCCTAGACTTATACAATGAAAACTATAATTTGCTGAAAGAAATTGAAGTCTAAATATGAAGACATTTCATCCTCCATGTTCATGGTTTAGAAGACTTAGCGTTCTTAAGTTGACAATTTTCTCCAACTTGATTTATGATGAACTCTTTTCAAAATGTACAGGAAAGGACCCAGAATAGCCAAATAATTTTGAAGAAGTATGAAGTTAGAGGATTTTTACAGGTCCTGAATGTGCACAAAGATGAATTCAGATCTTTACCTCATACTATGCACAAAAATTAAATAAAATGGACTGAAGGCGTAGATGTAAGAACTAAAACTATAAAGTTTCTAGAAAAAAAAGCAAGAGAAATCTTCACAAGTTTGAATTAGGTGAAGAGTTCTTAGTTACGACACCAAAAGCACAATTCATAAAAGAAAAAGATAAATTGGACTTCATTACAAGTAAAATCTTTGTGCTTCAGAAGACACCTTTAAGAAAGTGAAGACACGCCACAGACTAGGGGAAAATATTCGTATATTATGTATGTGATAAAAGAATTGTATGTAGAATATATAAAGAACTCTCACAACTCACCAGTAAGAATACAGACAACCCAGTTTTTGAAATGGGCAAAAGATTTTATTACACATTTTGCCAAAGAAGAGTGACTGATAAGCACTCAACATTATTACTCACGAGAGAAAAGCAAATTGAGACTATAAAGAGGTACCACTTTACACTCAGGAGAATGGCTAGAATCGAACAGACCAAAAATGATCCTTGTTGGCAAGGATGTAGAGAAACTGAAACTCTCATGCATTACTTATAGAAATGTAAAATGATAGAGCCACTTTGAAAACATTTTAGCAGTTTCTCTAGAAGTTCAACATGAATTTACCATCCTACCCAGCAATTCTCCAAAGAGAAATGAAAACATTTCCACACAAAAATTTTAAGTGAATGTTCATATAGCAGCATTATTTATAAAATAGCTGAAAACTGGAAGCAAGTACCCATTAACTATTATGTGAATAAACAAAATGTGGCATATTTAACAATGGAATATTATTCAACCATAAAAAGTAATGAGTATTGATTCATACTACATTGGATACACCTTGAAAATGAAATACTAAGTAAGTACTCTTTCTGCCAGGTGCAGAAGAGTACATATTGTATGATTTCATGTATGTGAAATGCCCAAAAGGGAGAAACTTTATAGAAACAGAAAGCAGATGACTAGGTGGCAGTGGCAAGTGACTATAAATGGGCAAAAGGATCTTTTTTTGGAGGTGGAAATGTCATAATTTGGATTGTGGTAATGGTTGTACAACTCTGTAAATTAAAAGTCATTGGATATTGCACTTAAATTGCATGAACACAAATTGTACCTCAATAAAAGCTGTTTCGGGGTGGAGGGGAAGAGTGGAAAGCACAAAGGAGACACACTAATACCTGTGCTTGGAGACAGTGTTCTTCTGTCTACATGAAGTGGGTGGTGGTGTCATACTCTGTTATTGAAGTTCCCTGAGCAAAGCTGCCTAAGTAATTAAATTGTCAAGTTGCCAAGAATTTAAGGTCATAAAAGATGTATATTGATTAAAAAACAACTCATAGGGAGAATTAATCTAAAGGTCATGTTAAGTTGTTACACTATAGTGCTTATGTGTTCATATTGAAGATACCTAGAATGTGTTTGGGGAATTACAACTGGAAAACAGCTTGCATGGTTTCTGGAGTCATCATCTCCTGGCTCATGTTAAATTTGCTGGTAAAATTCAACTGGGATATTTTTTGTAAACCGTGAGATTTTAGAAAAAAGATATTGAATGATTTGAAAGTTATGGTGGAGAGTAAAGAAGTTTAAACCTGGGCGGCGCCTGTGGTTCAAAGGGGTAGGGCGCCGGCCCCATATGCCGAGGTAGTGGGTTCAGGCCCAGCCCCGGCCAAAAACTGCAAAAAAGAAAAAAGGAAAAAAAAAGAAAGAAATTTAAGCCTTTTGACCTCAAGATACAGTTCTTATAAAATGGGTGGTTTCAATTTCAGAACTTTGAAAAGGAATTAGTGTCCATCAGTAAAACAACTTTAAATAAGAAATAGTCAAGAAAAGATTGTTTAATAATGTTGAAATTTCTTAGCACTGGAAAAAAAATAAGCAGACATCTGCTGTTCTTCTTTAAGAAAAGAGGATAAAAGTGAAAAAGTGTATATAACTCTGCCAGACTTGGTACCCAACACAGCATCAGATGTTGAATCATGAAGATGGGTCTGGGAGATTTAGAACTGAAGAAATAAAGAATGAAAATACGATCCATAATATCCACTGAGATGGCATGGTATATAGAGCAGCTGCAATAAAAAGAAATCATTTATATTTTTGAGAAGGGCAGAAAGAGGAATAAATCCTCTCTTTTTAATTAGCAATAAGAAAGATGGGTTTATCTCTATACCCACTTCCGTGTTGCATTGTAGGAGGCAGGGAAAGTAGTGTCAGTGCTAGCCTAGATGATGTCTAAGTTTCTCCCAGCTCTGTGACATGTGGAAAAAACTGAGAGTAGAAATGCGAAGAGAGCTAAATTCTACATGTTCTTAGTGTAGACCAGAGCAAGGCACCAAAACAGACTTTGGAAGAACAGAACTGCCTGATCTGTGGTGAGGCCTTTATGAGAGGAGAGTGTTCCGCAGCTTAGCAATAATTTATCATCAAAGAAATGTTTACATAAAGTAAAAGTTTTTCAATGTGTCATACCTGTATGGGTTTGAAATACTTCAATTAGTCTCAGTGTTTTTATATTGAAGGTCTTCTGTAGCTCACAGTTATATTAAAAATTTATATATGCTACTTTGTATTTTTGAATTTTCTATCCTGAAAAAATACCACTTAGGTTCTGCTTTGTACATATAAATATCCACAAGGTCTTGGTTCCAGGACTTCCACCAGGTACCAGAATCTGAGGATGTCAAGTTGCTTGTATAAAATGGTGGAATATTTGCATGTAGCATTTGCACATCCTCCCATATTCTTTAAATCATTTCTAGATTACTTATAATACCTAATACAGTGGAAATGCTATGTATATAGTTGTCATATTGTTTTTTAGCTTATGCTGTTCTTATTGGGTTTTTTATTTTTCAAATATTCTGGATCCACAGTTGGTTGAATCTATAGATATGGAAACTTTGGGTACAGAAAACCAACCCTATGTGGTTGATTATATTCTAGAACATAGTGAATTTCATTAAGTAAATTTCCAGCAAGTATGACAGCTTATTTTTTTAATATGTAGCATTTAGTGAAATAAGAGGGTCTGTTCTATATTGTCTTTTATTGATAGCATCAAAATGATAGGTCACCGGGGACAGTTGACATCTTCTGCTTTGTGGAAGATTATCTATCCCATGAGAGCTTTATGAGCCATTTGTACTGTAGGCAGAGTGACTTAACACTCTTTAAGTCACACTTGCCTCTGGGTCCCTGCAGGCCTAATTCCCAGACATATTTCAGACCTGTGATAGCTAACATGTTATCCACCAGCTACAAGTGTCTTTTGAGCACTTAAAATGTGACTAGTTCAAATTTACATGTGCTGTAATTGTAAAATATATACCATTTCCAGATTTAGAAAGGAAAAGGCATAATAACTAAAATTTTAATATTAATTTCATCTTAAAATGATAATATTTTGGATATATTTAGTAGGTAAAGTAGGATATAGTATAATTGAAATTAATTCTTTTTTTTTTTTGCTATTTTCAGTGGGACTACCAGAAAATTTGAAGTTACATATACATGTATATAGTATTTCTGTTAGGCATTGCTGATCTTGAACATGAAATAATCCCAGTGAATGTGTTTTAGTGTTTGGTTATGATATTTTTAATGTCAACTAGTTATTTATATCCAAGCAGTTGTTGTTCTTAAATGAAAAACAAATTTATATACCTTGATATTTTTAAGGTCTTAAAAATAATAAATAATAGATCTTCATTTTTCATGCTAACATTTATGAAATTCATAGGATCATTGTATGTTATTTTTTCCATATATTGGAAAAGGTTTCCCACAATGGACTTTTGAGAGCTAATTTTCATTGCAGAACAGTTAAGTTTTTAATGCAAAGAACGCATTAGACATGTATCTCTAGTCATTTTTATACTACTTCTCTGTATATTGTTAACACTTAATTCTTAGAAAAGTATATCCAGTTTTTCTTGTCCTTGCTATTTTAATTTTCTTATGGAAACTACCAGGGAGATTTCTGAATGAAAAAGAGCTTTACAGACTCTTTCCCTTTTTGTTTATCTTTTTCTTCCCGGGCACATTATTCCATAATGAGAGCTTCTGTAATTCTTTCATTTTTTTTTTTCTGAATAGGAAATTGACAATGGAAAACTATTCTTTTTCCTTCATGTTACTTTATTGCTTTTGTCTCTTAAAGTGTAGGGTTCATAGCTTTGGTTCTAAAATGTTTGTTTTTGTAGTTACTTTCCATAGAAATAATCAAAGTAAGTTAATAAAGAGGCAAATGTGAAGATTACTGGATAGTAGTTTTAATTATGCTGTTGATTCTAGACGATGGCTGAATAAAGCTATCATTTTTCCAGAATCATTTACGGAAGGTCATTTTCTAATCCAGTTCTCTTTTCAGGCACTACAGACGCCACCTCCAACAACACGGCAACCGTGATTTCCACAGCACCTCCAGCTTCCTCAGCAGTCACATCTCCCTCTCTGAGTCCCTCCCCTTCTGCCTCAGCCTCCACCTCTGAGGCATCCAGTGTCAGTGAGACCAGCACAACACAGACCACCTCCACTCCTTTGTCCTCCCCTCTTGGGGCCAGCCAGGTGATGGTGACAGCGTCAGGCTTGCAAACAGCAGCAGCTGCCGCCCTCCAAGGAGCTGCGCAGTTGCCAGCAAATGCCAGTCTGGCTGCCATGGCTGCTGCTGCAGGACTAAACCCAGGCCTGATGGCACCCTCACAGTTTGCGGCTGGGTAAGGTGTTTTCTCGTCTTATTGACATCTGAGAAACAGCTAGGACGTCATGCCTGGGATTACTTGTAGGGGAGACTCTTCATCACCATCTTAAATGAAAAAAAAATCTTTAAAATTATAATCTCTTTGAAAGGGACTGTTCTGTCACATGCAAGGACCTTGATTGTAGTTGAGCTTAGGTTTCATAACACCTAGAAGGGCAGTAGTCATACCTTTGTTTCCAGGAGATGGACCAGAACACCTAGTCACTGATTCCCTCAGTGATGGGACCAGGATAAAGTCCAGACTTCCTGACTCTATTTGCTCCACTAAACTCTCTCAACTGTATTCCTGCTAACTTTTATGAAATTCATAGAATCATTGTATGTTGTTTTTTCCATAAATTAGAAAGTGTTTACAGAATCTTACAGAATCCAACATAGACAAGAGACATACTAATAAAAGTCCCAGTTTTATATTGTTACTGTCAAACATATTATTAAAGCCATCTTGTATATATGTATATCGTTTTCTCTGGAGCTTTTTCTTTTGTTTTGGAAAAAAGAGAATGCAGTCATTCAAAGAATCAGAATGAGTTGCACAGGTTTCACATTTTGTGCTGGTCATAACCTTGTTTGTTCAAGTAAGCATCAGGGAAACTAGGAACTGAGAACTACAAACCAAACCGTGTAAGAGTAAGGGAGAATTACAGGTACTTCTGCATTCTTCCCTAGCTGCATTGTTTTCATCAGCCCTTTGTCTGTGTTGCAAACTGTCCAATGTGTCTGTGGTACTAAGTGACCCCTCTTTTGGACTTACAGAGGTGCCTTACTCAGTCTCAATCCAGGGACCCTGGGCGGTGCTCTCAGCCCAGCTCTGATGAGCAACAGTACACTGGCAACTATTCAAGGTCAGTGGAACATTTTCTGTTACCTAGCTCGTGTGTGTGTGTGTGTGTGTGTGTGTGTGTGCGTGTGTGTAATGGAAGAAGTCTGCTTTACTAAAGGTGAAAGTAATGGGGAAAGAACCAAATACTGACTAACTTGTTCTTGAGGAGCAAGAAAATATTCTCATAAAAGGGCTTTGTAAGAAAAGTATAGGTGTTAGTTTCTGAGTAGGAATAGGGAATATATTTAGTTTGAGATATTGTCATGAAACCAGGACATTTTTTGGTTTTTGTTTATAAAATATGAAATGTTTTTATCACACGAATAGTTTTTATACTGCTGAGCTTGAGTCAGGGCTGTAAGTGTGCCTATCACCCAAATAGTGTTCATTGTACCCATTAGGTAGGTTTTTACTCCCCTAGCCCTTACCTGATTGCCAATGACCTTTACTTCCCTCTGTGCACATGTGTGCCCATTGGTTAGTTCCAATGTATTAGAGAGTACAGATGGTGTTTGTTTTCTCATCCTTGAGATACTCACTCAGGATTGATTTCCAGTTTCATCCAGATTGCTACAAAAGGCATTAATTCATCCTTTTTTATGACTGAGTGTTACTCTGTGGTATACACATACCACATTTTGTTAATCCACTCATGACTTGCTAGACACTTGAGTTGATTCCACATCTTTGTGACTGTGAATTGTGCTGCAGTGAACATTCAAGTGCAGGTGTCTTTTTGGATGAAAGAACTTCTTTTCCTTTGGGTAGATAACCTAGTAGTGGGATTGCTAGACTGAATAGTAGATTCACTTTTTTAGTTCTTTGAAAAATTTCTCGGCTCAGCGCCTGTGCCTCAAGTGGCTAAGGCACCAGCGACATACAGCTGAGCTGGCGGATTCGAATGCAGCCCAGGCCCGCCAAACAGCAATTAAGGCTGCAACCAAAAAATAGCTGGGCGTTGTGGCAGGCACCTGTAGTCCCAGATACTTGGGAGGTGGAAGCACTAGAATCACTTGAGCCCAGGAGTTGGAGGCTGCTGTGAGCTGTGATGCCACAATACTCTACCCAGGGTGAGAACTTGAGGCTCTATCTCAAAAAAAAAATAATAATAAAATAAAAGTCTCCATACTGTTTTCCGTAGAGGTTGTATTGATTTGCAGTCCCATCAACAGCGTATAAATGTTCCTTTCTCTCTGCATCCATGCCAGTATCTATGAGGGGGAAGTGCTTTTTTTGTTGTTTTGTGAGACAGAGTCTCACTACATTACCCTCTGTGGTGTGTTGTGGTGTCACAGCTCACAGCATCCTCAAACTCTTGGACTTAAGCAATTCTCTTGCCTCAGCCTCCCAAATAGCTGGATAGCCCTTTTTAATTAAAGCCATCCTAACAGGGTAAAGTGATATCTCATTATGATTTTAATTTGCATTTTCCTGCTGATTAGTGATATTGAACATTTCTTCATAAGCTTATTGGCCAATTGTCTTACCTGCTTTTGAAAAGTTTCTGTTCATGTCTTTTGCCCACTTTTTAATGGGGGGTTTGTTTTCTTCTTGCTGATTTGAGTTCTTTTTAGATTCTGGATATTAGCCATTTATCAGGTATATAGTTTGCAATCATCTTCTCCCTTTCTATAGGTTGTCTCCTTACTCTGTTGACTATTTCCTTAGTTGTGAGAAGCTTTTTAATTTAGTCAGATCCTGATTGTTTATTTTTGTTGTTGCTGTAATTGCTTTGGAGGTTTTTTTTTTTTTGTAAATTCTTTGCCTAGGCCAATATATACATCACTACGAAAGTTTTGAGACAGTGTTATGTCCATTATTTCACTTCCAAGAAACACAGTTGTCAGAGTCCTTTCTGATTCACCTGTGCAAGCATCACCTTGCCCAGCTTATTGGTGTTGCTGGAAGGGCTTCATTCTCTCCATCTTCATGGATTTTTTTTTTTTTTTTGAGACAGAGTCTTACTTTGTCACTCTGAGTAGAGTGCCATGACATCATAGCTTGCAGCAACCTCATATTTTTTGAGCTTAAGTGATCCTCTTTGCCTCAGCCTCCCAAGTAGCTAGGATAGGACTGCAAGTGCCCAACACAGCACCCAGCTATTTTTTGGAGACAAGGTCTTCCTCTTCTTGCTCTTCTTGCTCTTCTTGCTCAGGCCGGTCTCGAACTCCTGAGCTCAAACAGTCCACTAACGAGTGCTAGGATTGCAGGAGTGAGCCACCATGCCTGGCCATTTGTGCAGATTTTACATTTCTTGATTTTTGTGTATCTCAAAACTTTTGTAATGGCCTACAGATCTAGAAGAGTTTTTCCCACATTTTCTTCTAAAAATCTTAATGGCTTCATGCCTTACATTTAAGTCTTTTATCGATTTTGAATTAATTTTTCTGAATGGTGAAAGATAGGGATCCTGTTTCATTCTTCTGCATATGGCTATCCAATTTCAGCACTATTTATTGAGCAGGGCTTCTTTTCCCTAGTGTAGTGTTGTCTGCTTTGTCAAAGGTCAGTTGGCTGTGTGTAGATGGTTTTATATCTGGGTTTTCTGTTCTCTTCCCTTTGTCTGTGTCTCTATTTTTCTGCCAATAATGGGCTATTTTGGTTGCTGTAGTCTTGTAGACTAGTTTGAAGTCTGCTAAGGTGATGCCTTCAGATTTGTTCTTTTTGTTTAATATTGCTTTCGCTATTTGATCTCTTTTCTGGTTCTACACAAATAAAATGTAGAATCATTTTTTTGGATCTATGAAATATGACATTGGTATTTTGATGGCGATTGCATTGAATCTGTAAATTACTTTGGATCATATGGACATTTTAAAATGTTGATTCTACCAATCCATGAGCTTAATATGTTTTTCCATTTGTTTGTTTTATCTGCAGTTTCTTTCCTCAGTGTTTTCTGGTTCTCTTTGTAGAGATCTTTCACTTCCTTGGCTAAGTGTATTCCTAGGTATTTTATTTTCTTTGTAGCTATTATGAATGGTATTGAGCCTTTGATTTGACTGTCAGCTTGTCTATTACTGGTATATAGGAATGCCATTGATTTGCATACATTGATTTTGTAGCCTGATACTTTGCAGAATTTATTTTTTAAATTCTAGGATTCTCTTGGAGTCTTTGGGGTTTCTAAGTAAAAGATTAAATCACCAGTGAAAAGCAATATAATTTGACCTCCTCTTTCCCAATTTGGATACACTTTATTTCTTTCTCTTGCGTGATTACTGTGGCTAGGACTTCCAGTGCTATGTCTTATAGACATGCTAACAGTGGGCACCCTTGTCTTGCTCCATTTCTCAGGGTTAATGCTTTCAACTTTCCCCTATTCACTGCACTGTAGGCTGCGGGTGTATCATATATGGCTTTTATAATTTTGAGATGTATTCCTTTATGCCTAGTTTATTGAGCGTTTTTATCATAAAAGGGTGTTAGGTTTTGTCAAATGCTTTTTCTCCATCTATTAAGATGATCATATGGTCTTTGTTTTCGCTTTCTTTTATGTGGAGAATCACACTAATTTACATATGTTGAACCATCTTTGTATCCCTGTGATAAAGCCCATTTGGTCATGGTGGATTAGTTTTTGATGTACTGTTGAGTTTGGTTTGCTAGTATTTTACTGAGGATTTTTGCATCTATATTCATAAGGGATATTGGCCTGTAGTGTTGTTTTTTGTTTTTTGTTTTTTTTGTCATATCCTTTCCTGGCTTTGGTAACAAGGTCATACTGACTTTGTAGAATAAGTTGGGGCACATTCCCTTCTTAATATTATGGAATAATTTGGTGCAGTGTGGTTGCTAACTCTTTTTAGGTCTGGTGGAATTTGTCTATGAATCCATCTGGTATGGGGCTTTTTTTTTTTTTTTGGTCAGGAGATTTTTTTTATCACTGCTTCCATCTTGCTGCTTGTTATCAGTCTATTCAGGAGTTCTGTTTCTTCCTGAGTGAGTCTTGGGAGTTTATGTGTTTCCAGGAAGTTATCCATTTCCTCTGCGTTTTATGTAAGTAGAGATTTTCATAGTATTTAGAGATAATATTTTGTATATCTGTGGCATCAGTTATAATGTCTCCTTTTTCATTTCTGGTTGAGCTTATTTGGGTCCTTTCTCTTGTATTCCTGATCTATTAATTTTGCTTACCCAAGACTTTTTATGCTGATATTTATCTTCTCACATGAATAGCCTTAGAGGCAGATTTTTTCCCAGTAAATTTATCCAAGTACTCATCTAACACCCATCTCAAGGCAAATTTGACCAAGTAAGACTCCCCAGTTCCCCATCTCTCCCTAAGAGAACCATGTGTGAGAAAGTCGTATAATACATTAACATCAGAGCACATTAGGCCGACTTTAAGGTACTTTTAAATCTTGCTATGTTCTGCTCTTTTTATATCCCTGTCAGTGTAGAGATTTCTAATCTCTCAGATTATATTGTCTCTTTCCCAAGCCTAGTTGAGTCCCTTTCAGGGACAAATCATTCCACATAGTGAAGAGTTTCCCTTGCTTAGCATCTAAAATTTGTATCTGAAGATGCTTGCTATATTGTGATTCAAGGAAAGGATTTGAGAAACAGCACCATATTAATCAGATAATATTTATTTCTTAAAATTAAAATAGTTTGATGAGAGGCAGTGGCAGAAGATCACTTGAAGCCACGAGTTTGAGGTTGCAGTGATAGCACCTGTGAATAGCCTGGGAAACATATCAAGACCCCATCCCTAAAAGTATATTAAAAAAAAAAAAAAACAATTTGTGCTTAAATGAGAGTTCTCAGAGCCAAGAATTTTATTTTATTTAGTGACACTATATACGTAATTTTTTTTCAAACAAAGGCTTTTTTGAAGATGACTTTCATTTTGTGTATCAGTCTATCAATAATACCAGTTAATTTATAAAAGCTAAGTATATTTTTAATGCCTTAATTACCTTGGCTAGCTTGTCTTTTGAACAGAGGTAGTTTGCAATTAGCAATCTTCACTAAAGATTATTGGATTTATCAAATATGTCTAGGTAAATGAAATAAATTTGAGCTTTCAAGATAGAAACGTCACTCTGATTCACATTTTTATTTGACCTGCTTCTGCCCATGCTCATTAATTGAGTTAGATTTTTCAGTCATTTAAACTCTTTAAAATTGTAAATAAATGACAGGTTGTGTCAAGATAGCACTGTGACTGAGAAAAAGAATCAGAGAAGGGCTTCACTTTTTTCTCCAGAGTTACAGGAAAACTCGATAGACCTTTGAGCTTATCTGGCTGCTCCAGGCTGATGATAACATTCTCCTTACTTTCTGTTTTGGGGGGGGTTTTGTCTGTAGCTCTTGCTTCTGGTGGCTCTCTTCCAATAACGTCACTGGATGCAACTGGGAACCTGGTATTTGCCAATGCAGGAGGAGCCCCCAACATCGTGACCGCCCCTCTGTTCCTGAACCCTCAGAACCTCTCTCTGCTCACCAGCAACCCGGTTAGCTTGGTCTCTGCTGCCGCAGCCTCTGCAGGGAACTCTGCACCTGTAGCCAGCCTTCACGCCACCTCCACCTCAGCTGAGTCCATCCAGAACTCTCTCTTCACAGTGGCCTCTGCCGGCGGGGCTGCGCCCACCACCAGCACCGCCTCCAAGGCGCAGTGAGCTGGGCAGAGCAGGGCTGCCGGGAGCCTTTTACTCTGCAGTGTAACTGGGCTGCCAGCCAGGTTAATAAAACTGAAAAATGTGATTGGCTTCCTCTCGCCACCATGTTGTGAGAGCAAAGGAGAGAAGGGAGAGAAGAAAAAAACATACCAGAAAAAAAAAAAAAGAAGAAAGGATGGAGATGGGACAACATTTGCCTAATTTTGTAATAAAACACTGTCTTTTCAGGATTGCTTCATGGATTGGAGAACTTTCTAACCAAAAATTTAAAAAAAAGAAACAAAAAATCAAAAACAAACAAACAAAAAAATAAGTGAAAGGACTACTTATCATTTCCAGCAGTCATGATGACAAGTTAAGGTGGGTTACCAATTCCAATATAGGAAGGGGATTTCTTGTTTGTCTAAATTTCTTTTTATCTTAAAAAAAAAATCATTTTTATGGGTCTGTTGTACAGGCCATTAAGTCATAACAAGGTGTTTATAATCGTATCAATTGTGTTGGGGGTTCCTTTCTTAACTGGTACAATTTAGGCAGGCCTGTATTACTGTATCTCTATTATTATTGTTGTTGTTATTGTTTTTTATATATATATATAGTTTGGACATGTTTATCTCTTGCTCCTGGATCCTATTTCAGTGAGCTCCCACACTGTGGGGAGGGAGGGTTTCAGGGTAAGGGGAGACTTCTGTTCTTAACTGCGGGGAATGTTCTTGCTGGTTTCCTTATCCTTGATGACTCTTACAGAGGTGCTAGAAAATTATTTTCTTTTGCCACTTATGCAAGAGGCTTGGTGCAGAAGCTGAAGGCAGTGTGTGCAAACACTCCCACTCCACACATCCCCCCCATCAGGTGGTGCCTTCGGAGCACTTTTGCGTAGGAAGAAATTCCTGCTGAACTGTAGCTCTCACTCACCCCAAATCATTGAATGACCCTGAGGCCCAGATCCTGTGGTGCAACAGTGCTGCTTTCTGCTACTTTCAATGGGAACAGCTGTACGTGTTGCAGGGCGGGATTTGGTTCTGAAGAGCAAAGACTACTGCAGACACCTGACTTGGTGGTTCTCCTGATTTCTAATCTCCTGAAAATGCTCCTATTGTTGGTGTGTTTGTTTGTTCCATTTTTCAGAAGTTTTTCATCTAAACTTCCTTTAAGTTACTTGGCAAAGAACAAACTGACTTATTGAAGTTGGAAAACTTTTCTCTTATTTTCTGAAGGAATTCTAGTACTTTCCATCAATTACATATCCAAAAGAGGTGTTATGAGAGGAGTCTTGAGTTTGCCAGCTTTTCCTCTAGAAAGCCACAGACTTCCTTTCCACTGGATGGCTTATAAATTCTTATAACCCTGAGATTCTCCTTGGTTCTCTGACTAAAGGAGGTACTTAACTAGCTGGGCGGGATCTATAGAACTTCAAGCAGGAACTTTGCACACACCTCAAGTGTCTCCTTCGTTAGTTGGTGACACTCCCACGAGGTAGTTCTACACAGCAATTCACATCTCTTTATTCAGTGTAGAAAGTGACCAGCTCCTGTAATTATTTTCAGGGTATTTCTAAACTATGTAAATGAGCCCTTTGAAAAGGAAGAGCTTGTGAAAGTGGATGAAGAGGAGTAAGGGTAACTTAAGAGAGTAAATTCCCTTTTTTTGTCAGTGTACTGTTATTATACCGTCTATATGAAAAAAAAATTCCAAAAGACTGGATTACTGCACTGCAGCTCATCTAAGTTCCCCTTCTTATTGGAGTTGAAGGTTCCCATTTGGTGTCTGTGGGGTTTTGTTTAAATCTGTGGTGGTCCCAAGACTGCACTTTTTCTCCCTTTGGAGCTGAGGGTGTAAAGAGAACTTACAGGTGGTTTTCGGTCTGATTGCTTTGCTTGTGTCCACAAGGAAGCTTGGATTCTGTGTATTTATCTCTCTTCACCATTGTTGAGAAAGGCAGTAATACAGACACAGTGTGGACTTTTGCTTATAATTTAAGTGGGAGACAATTGCATTAATATTAAAAAGTCAGAAATATTTTAGTCCCCTTTAAAATTTTTTTGTTTCTTTTTTTGTCTTAATTTTATTTCACAAAATATTTAAATTGCCACCCCTAAATTTCCTCCTTACCCTTTACCTTCCCTAAAATCCCTCCAAAATCAGTGAACTGCAAGCAGGGAAATTAACAAATGTCCATCCACCTTTTTTGTGTGGTGTGTTTTTTTATGTTTTTTTTTGTAAACTAAGCTTGAACCAAAGTCAATTTTTAGCAAGCTGCTGTACTAATGGACTAGTTTATGATGTGCAGTTCAGACACATTGAGGAGATAGATGCTACTGACAATTTCTTTTTCATTTGTCTTTATTAATTTTATATAAAAGTTGCTGCTTGTTTTTAATCTTTTATGTTGGTAAATTGTAATATCCTCTGGGCAGACATTAACTTGATGTTTAACTAGTTTATTTAGATTGGTGTGTAAATAGAATGGCAGTGTCAGTTACTAATTTCTCTCCTCTCCATCTGCTTTTTCTCTGTTGTAGTTAAATTTAATCTTTTATCCTGACTTGCCATCTCTAACTTTAGTCTGTGCAAATAATTTAGGGCTATCAGTGATACTGTAGTTGCCAATAGCAATGAGTCCCTCCCTTGGGAGTGTGGAAAGTTAGAAGGAAAGATTCTGGGAGGGGAATGCTGATGCCCACCACACTGGATTAGAAGTTGTAGCATTAATTTCCCAAAATCGCTACCAAAGGAAGTGTGGAGTCCCGAGGGACTCAAGCCCAGTGAGTCAGGAGAAAGGGCAAGGACTGCCTAGGGTTTTTTTTGTTTTTGTTTTTGTTTTTTGCCTAGGTTTTTTGTTTTTTCTCACATGTGGTTAAAAAAATGATCCTTTTCCCAAATAAGATCTAACAAAAGACTTTAATATTAAAAAAGATACTAAGCTTTAAATGTCAGTACAATGGTCATTTATTTCTATTCCCTGTCTGTATTCTCTCTCATCAGTCTGGTATAAGGGGAGTCTACCTTTTGGTGTGTGTATCACTTGATAAGGGTAGACCTTAAACCAGCATAAAAAAACAACAGAACTGTGTTTAAAGGAATAATCTTCAGACAAAGATAAATCCTTAGATAAAGATAGATGAAACTTTTTCTCTTTTTTCACTCATTTAAAAATAAGTTGTAAAATGAAAGGTACATATACATATGTACACATGAAACACTAATACAGCTTGTTGGTGAGTGTTTAGTTTAAAATCAAATCCCTGTCACCATCACTATTCTACTGATCATATTGCTTCATGATCAGTCATGATCATGATTAGTCATTTTTTACTTTATATCATCTTTTTTATTCATCTTGAGAAATGCATTTTGAATTGAATGAACTATCTCCTACACTAAAGTACTCAAACTTAACTTTTAGCCACCTTGTGATGGGAGACTCTGGAAACTAAAGAGGGACTTTAGACCAAAAAAAGGTGTTCAGTAGAGTTTCTACATTTTGAAGAAGAAAGGCCAGATAGGTCATCACAATTCATTGTGTCATTCTTTTTCTTTTTGTTCCTCCTTAATGTTTATGCAAGTTGTATTTTTATCCCTGAATTTGGTTAACACATATTAAGCCAAAGACTAATTCTAAATGCATTTATAGTAATATTATATTTGCTCATAGTAATGGGCCCTCCCTAGGGAGTGGTGAATGTAATTGTTTGAATCCTGCTTGTCACAAGTGGTGCAATTTGGTCATAAACTTTATTTATACCCTGTATAAATCTAAAGGACAGAGCAGGAAGACCAAAAAGGGCTCCTCATAGGAACAATACTACTGTGTTGTTCTAAGAAATAAGTTGAGTGCTGTATTAGTTTAAATGTTTCTGAAGTTCTATAGGCAGCTTTTTAGAATTAAGAGAAAAATTGTTTGTATTCATTAACTGATATAATACACACCCTTTTATTTATTATCAGAAAGATCAATACCATCCCAATTTATTCAACTCATACTCAAGAAATGGAACCAAAGGAATCCACCTTTCATTGGTATAGGACCATGCCTGCTTAACTCCATGGTAGCATTATAAGAAATTAATCCTTTTTGTGTTTAAATAAAAGGGAAAAATAAGATTGATAAATTTTTAGTGAATCATCTTGCCAACTCATCCTACATCATTCATTCATTCATTATTGGGAAAAAAGCACAATTGTACTTCTTTTGATGATATTTTGTCTCATTAGCCCTGATTTGTTTGGTAAGATAAGGGAAACCTTGTCTATATCCAGAAGCACAGGTTTTTGCTTGATAAAACATTTAAATTCAGCCCAATCTTTAACATTTTCTTTTTAACTTGCCGGAAAAGCCAGATACATTTGCAAACATAGGAAATTCATGTAAGGTTTTAAGGTTATAAATCTTGATAGAAAATATTGGAATTAGTATATAATAAACACTTGGCTTACCGAAGACACGCTCTGTAGATCATAATCTAAAGCTGTTCCCAAACCATGTCATCCTCACAAAACACTCTTATCTAAGAAAAAAAAGAGAAGAAATGATCACTGAAATAGGAAGACAGAGAAACTGAGAAGCCTCTTTGCTTCTGCCCAAGAAAAGAGAAGCACTGCCCAGGGAGAAGTTGGAAGGCCTGGACGTCACGTTAGCAGGTTGCTTTGGCCTCAGCCCTTGAGAGGCCCTCCAAAGACCAATCTGCAGTTACAGGAACACCTCAACAATTCACTAGGCAAGTCCGTCCAAATAATTTCTCATTAAATCAGAATCTAAATAATGGATTTAAAGTTTACTGGTTCTTCAAACTCTGTTTATTAGAGTTGAAAGAGTTAAAAGATGACTAATACTAATGGGGAAAAACAGACTAAAGACCTGAAATTTAAAATTTTCCAAATGAGCAAGAATTTATGGGTTAATTTCCTCGTAACTGATAGTTTTAGATGTATGTATGAAGATCACTCAAATCATTGTCCTGGCTATTTGAAGACATTTTCAGTCTTAAGACCTTTTGAGGGCAACACTTTATAAAGTGGTAAGTCTTTCTTAGCATTGACTTTCACTTTTGAGAAGAAAAAAATATCATTGTTTGCCATTCCTCTAAGAAGAGTAACTAGGATGAGCTATTGTAGGTTTGCATAGACAGCACACACA